ACTATAATAATGCATATTTTGCAAAAGTAGGAGGAATCAGCACAACAGAAATGAATTTTCTTGAAGTGGATTTCTTGTTTGGATTAGGGTTTCAATTGAATGTGAACCCCACCACTTTCCACACCTATTGTTCATATCTACAAAGAGAAATGTTGCTTCTTCAACCACCATTAGATCATCATCTAACATCATCATCATCATCATCATCGCCATCAATATCAACAAAACTGCTTCATTATGAAGATGATCATCAACAACAAGAAGTGGCAGCAGTTTAATCAGCAATCTTTTCTTTTTCTTTTTCTTTTTTGAAACTGAATTAATCTTTTTATCTTGAGCTTGAATGATGTGTTTTTAGGTAGATTGTAGATTATTTTATATGGGTTTAGCAAGTTAAACCTTTTTAAGGCAGTTTTTTTGGGGGGTGTATTTTACTTGACTTTGATTGGTGGTATATACAAATGGGATGCTTTTTTTTCGCTATCTTATATATATTGGAAATTATTTTTATTCTTGGTAGGGGCATATAGAAGCATAAAGCTGCAAAAAGGAACACTGTGTAAGATCTAATCTGAAGTGAGGGGGGGGGGGGGGGGGGTTGAATTAACAATGGATAGGGTGTATTTATGGCAAGCATGAGATAAATATAATATATCAAAAAAACAGATAGAAAATGAATATTGAAAAAAAAAAATTTTGAATTTATTAAAATTTATATTATTTGAGTTATATTTTAGAAATAAAAAAAAACGTAAAATCAATATTTCTCAAATTTATTATGGATGCTGATTTGGAGTTCAAACAAAGGTAGCCGGAAGGGCAATTACCGTGTTTTATGGTTGTTCGGTTATCATTTTTAGAAGCAAATGCAAATACTTAGAAAATAGAAAAGTTTTACTTAACTGATTGAAAATTATAACATTTAATCGAGTAAAACGCAAATAAAGTATCAAGAATCACTTTATAAAACATTATATATTTACAGGATAGCATTAAACTTTTAATTAGGTAAATTTTCCTTATAAAAATCATATTTTATCTAAGAATTTATTTTTAAAATCAATGCTTAATGGTTTATATTAGAAGTTAAAACTCTAGTACGTCTTAAATATTGTTAATATTCTGAAATTGATTTTTCATGAGTTTTGAGGCGGATTTATATCCGCTCTTCAAATGGTGCAGTTACTATTTTTATAAATACATTTTTTTTTAAAATAAAACTCTCGTAAAGCAGCATTCCGTTTATATGTTATTTGCTTCCAATACAAAAGAAAAAAATAAAAATAAATGAGTGGTGACATAAAAGGTAGTCTTTTTAGAAGTTATGGCATATACTACAAGTAGTTGTTATTGATTCTTTTAGGGAACATTCACCATGTGATTTCGTGTACATTTATAGTTGGCCATGTGCACTGTTGTCTTGATGTACACATTCAAAGGTATAAACTCTACACTTGGTTATGGAACTTTAATTAATAGGTCGAGACAAAAAATGAATTAGTTTTTATATGTTTATTAGTTATGTTCAATTATTTAATAAATATATTTTTTTAATGGAAAAACAAGATTCAGAAGAATTAAACTATCTACTAAGGAGTTAGATGAAAAAATTATTACATAATTGGGAAAAACTCAACGTCAATCAAAATCAAGCATTTAAAATTCCAACATAACCACATAAGCTAAACAATGAAGCCCCACAATGGAAGCCTAGTGGTTAAGAAGTAGAATTCTACAGAGAAAATCCAAGATACACACCCAAAATCTTACTACTACGCCACTTTCAATACAACACCACCAATATCCAACCCTAAATTATAAGACACCAAAGAAGGAAAACTCAGCTAAATGCCATTAACAAACACTTAAAACAAACCAACGGATACCATTGAACCATAAATATGTAACAGAGACAACAATTGAACACCTCTAATTCCCATGTAAAAATGAGTAACAAGATTCATCAAATCACCAAGAAGTACCAAATTTCACAAGAGAATTAACACTTCATATCTCGTGACCACCAAGAAGTACCAAATTTGACAAAAAAATAAATTGGAATTTCATATCTCGTGGAAGGAGATAGAAGTGCACAAATGGGTATAACTCAAACGGATGAGAATAGAAACATCAAATCCACCAAAAGTCCAAACCCCCACAACAAAAAGAACCATGTTTCATTAAAAGAAAATTGAAATATCTATTTCCCGTTGAAAAAGAAAGGAGTACCCATGAAACATGAAAAAACTCAATTATCCAATAAGAGTTAATTACTAGTATGTTTTAAAGGGTTATACAACATACAAATTACCCAATTAAAATCTTTAAAGGGTTATACAACATACAAATTACCCAATTAAAATCTCATTAATCCACCACACCACAACCGACCAACCCCACTCAAACCAAACGTACTAAATTTCAATAAAAGAAAAAAAAAACTCATACATCCATGTGTCCATTTATTGTTGAATGAGAAAAGAAGTGCCCAATAAATGGATAAACTAAAAAAATAATAATAGTAATAATAACCGAGCAAAAGGTGGTCAATTCCTAAAAATACCCAAACCCTCGAACCAAAAGTATCAATTTTCATGAAAGAAAACATATACTTCCATCATATTTGATAAGAAAGGAGTGTTGATAAGACATAGGTAAACTCGAATTAATTGATTTACAAATCAGCAAATCCATCTAATATGAGACTTTGACACCCATAAAGGACAATAGCACCACCACACCAAGATAGATGGAGCTAAGTTGCTAAAGTTTGATTATATGTTGCTTTTATTTTAATAAAACTATATGTGATTCGTATATCCGATTATCAATAAATGGTAAAATAATTAAGAATGCACTCCCCCAGCCCCTCTTCCTCGTTTCAAGAGTTCAATATGCATTCAACTCCAGGTCCATTGTATCCCAATTTGGCATCCAAGGTCTTATTCGAATCTTCCATTGAGAATGCTCTTAATAGGGATATATCCAAATGTTTAGACAAAAGCTTAGACTAAAATCTAAATATCATCTTGAGGATTAAGGAAGTTCAGAAAATGCTTAAAGAGGATTGAGGAAGTTCAGAAAATGCTTAAAGAATCTTCAAGATGGCTTAATTGTAAATACATTATCATTTAAGGCCCAAATAATATTTGATTCTATTAAAAATCTGTCCTAATACCTAACCATGGGCACATGTTAGGCGCACCGTTCAATAGACCAAGTAAAAACATACACACGCATGATCAATCACACATATAGACATATGTATGTATGGGGTTGTACAGTTTCCGGTTGTTAGGGCACAAAAATGAATTATCGTAAAAAAAAAAGTGTTTGATTGCGTAAATAATACTTTTTAGTTTTTACATCAATGTTTTCACAATTTATTCAGAATTTTTCTCTTTTGCAAACTAATTTTTTTACCAGAAAAACAAATTCGAAGGGAAAAATCAAGTGTTGACTGTTCAAATTCAAAGAACCAAGCAAATTCTAGTATTTATGGCATAATAGAATCGAACTAAGTCGTGAAACAGTTGAGACCGACTTGAAAAATATTTGAAAGTAGCGATGCAAGTTGATTTGACCTCGAGCTTAAGCTACTTGAGTATACTATTGAATGGATTCTAATTGAGTACTAAAAACATCTTCAACCCACTCCTATTTTTCATTTTTCCCCCATTCTTCTCCAACTCTCCGCCATTTATTCTTCCATTTTGGAGATATGAATAGTATTTTACACCAAATATGGTGTTATACTATTCATTTCTCCCAAAATGGGATGAACTTTGCGTTGTCGGTTTTAGTCCATTTGTTTATATATTTATACATTTCTAGTTTATTTTTACCTACTAATTATAATTTAAATGTAATATTTAATAATTATAATATTTTGTTATATATTAAATTATATTAATTAATTATAAATATAAAGTTTGTTTTTGTTCGTCAAATTCATATAAAAAGTTAAATACATATTAAAACTTTAAAAAACGATAATGTATTTTACAAAAGCTTATAAGTTTTATAAATATAATCTTATATATTTAATATTATTGTAATAAAAATATATAGATTATATATTTGTTAAAACCAAATTAATAGAAGTGATGTTTTTAACAATCTATGTAAGTTGGAATAATGAAATATAATAAGAATATAGTTTTTGAATAAAAAATGAGGTAGGATCGAAGATAAAACACTATTTATCTCATTTTTTACTTTATTTTTGGAAGAAAAATGAAAGTGCGATGAAGATGGTCTAAAAAGCTCTGCTAATAAAGCTCTAGAGATGTTACTAGTTTAGTCAATTTTAACTTTTAAATAAGCAATCCCAAACACCCCTTTAGTATTTATGTTGGCTTACAAGATTTACAAACTCAATACAATGGTTTTAAAAATCGGTTGAGTCTTACTCAAAGGCGAGGCATTTTTTTTACCTGGGGCGTATGCCCTACAGGCTATTTTTTAATTTTTGAAATTTTCTTGGATTTATTTTACAATTACAACTTTGAGCTTCGAGTTTTGTTTTCGAGTCGAGCTCAAGTTTGACTCGACCCGAGTTTGACACTGCACCAAGTTTTGAAGAGGCTTTTTCAGTTTTTCTAGAGTCTTGAATACATTGAGTTTTTCTATATTTCATGTCTGATCCAAAAAGTTCATCATCAACATTGCTTCAACATTCATAACATCCAAATAAAAACATTCAAGGGTATGACAGTCATAATTGAGAAAAAAGGTTAAGCCACTTCAAGTTTATATAAACACTTGAGAATTAGAAGCAAATTCCATGAGAGAATGAAGAAGCAATTAGTCGTTTGAGAGAATGAAGAACCTTTTTGTTTTCGATCATAAGCAACAATTTTAAGTAATCAAGAAACATGATATCCTTATTAGAGCTTTGATCTTATCTATGACTACTTTCCTACTGCTAATACTCACAATTAGCACAAACTTACAAAAAAAAACATTTGAAAGTAAAGTTTAGGAAACGAACTCCATTTTCAAGACTCTGGTGTAGGCATCCTCTTCACCTTCTTGTTCTTTTCAAAAACTGCTTTTGAAAACGAATCCACAAGTCTCTGCTGTGAATCCAGAATCATCTCTGTCCGTTTCATCTCCATTTCCATTCGCATGGATTCAAGCTCCCTTGCCATGTCCATCTTCATCCTCTCTATCCTCATAAACCCATCTCCCAACATCTTTATAGCTGTCACCATATCCTCCACCGGATTATTGCTATTTCCGGTCACCTCTTCCCTCCTCTTGATTCCGCCACCTCTATCCTTCCCAATTCCAAACCCTCCCTTAGCATACCCATCTCTCAAACCCTTTCCTAATCCGTAATTTGACTTCACGGGAGGTGGGTAGTCGTCGTATGCGCTATTATTGTTATTATACATATTTATCCCGGCCGGTGGCGGTGGAACGGCTGCGGTGTTAGCCCGGCCGGGAATCTTAATCCGAAACCCGTTTTCGTTTCCGTTTAAGGGTCCGGTACCATTATCAATCGAACTGTAAAATCGTTGGTTTGGGGGGAGAGGGATCGCTTGTTTGATTCCTCTAGGGTATAATAACAAACCGTCTTGATTGTCAACGTCTCGTTCTCCTTCTTCCTCATCATCCTCATCCTGATTCATCGCATCGGGATCGGAAGAAGAGGATCCCTTTTCCATCAAATCCATCCGTTTAAAGTGAACCCATGAGGAGGGATACCGGTGGCCTTTGGGGGTAGCGGCGGCGCGTTGGATCTCTGCACGGTAACGTTTTCTGAGTTTCTCCATCTTGTGACGGCACTGAATAGATGTCTTCTGCGGGATCCCAGATGACAAGGGGCATCGAGTCGCGACGTCATCGGCGACTTCCTGCCAGTGTGAGGCGCGTAAATTGCCTCGTCGGAGAGAGTACCATTTATCACGATACGCATCGATAAGCGCTGCAGTTTCGTCTTGGGACCAGCACGGAGGTGGGAGGCGTCGAGAAGATGCTGTTGAGGCCTGTGGTGGTGCAGCGAGGAGAAGCGGTGTTGGGTTTGCCGGATCTTGCGATGAAGAAGGTGAATGCGAGCTGGTCATGGTGTAATGCGCAGGTTAGCAGGGGGAGGAGACAGAAAGAGGGGCGATGGTGGGTGTGGGTGGTGGTGGTGGTGGTGGTGGTGATGAGAGGTGGAAACATAATAAAGGAATGGAGGATTAGGTGGGTGTTGATAAAGGTAGGGTGGACGGGGGAGGAGGAGAGAGGTGTGCGGCTGACTTGGAGATCTAGAAAGATGAGGCCACCGCTTAGGGTGGGGGAGGTGGCGCAGGCTAATATGCGCCGAGAACGGTACTACGCACCAGGATCAGGGTGAGCCCGTGCGCAGCCGGTAGGACGGCTGTGACGAGTACGGACTACGGAGAACCCCGTTTGTTTATCTCCTCGCTTGCTTTGCTTTCGTAAGCTTATGACTTTGTCTCTCTCTCATTTAATTAATTAAATACATAAGACAATTTTTTTTAAGGTAATTACTAATCTAGCCAAATTAAAAAAGTAATTAATCATTTTTAGTCAAAAATTAAGAATTGTTCCAAAATAGCCCACAAAATCGTATGTATTTATATTTGGCTACTGTTTCGCTAAATCGTCTACTGTTTCGTGTTTAGTATAATTTTTTTTTTTCATTTTGAAGATATAAAACCGTAGTTTTTTTAAAACCTACGGTTTTCTTTCTCTAAAATACGGTTTCCCAAACCGTAGCCTACGATTTTGGGTTAAATCTATGTTTTTTTTTTGGTATAAAGACTACGGTTTTGGGTTAAAAAGCTATGTTTTTTTTAATAGAGAGTATTTTTTTGAAAATTATTTTGATTAAAAATATTGTTTGTAAAATATAGAGTAGTTTTTTTGACAATTATTTTGTTAAAAAATATTTTTTGTAAAATATAAAATAGTTTTTTAACAATTATTTTGATAAAATAATTTTTTGCTAAAATGTAGATTCCTTTTTTGAATTTGTTGTCTAATATTTTGATAAATTTGACTACTATTTGGGTAAATTTGACTATTTTTTGCTAAATTTGATTTCTTTTTTGTTAAACTTGACTTTTTTTGTCAGAATGGACTACTGTTTTGAACCTATTATATATAATAAGTAATCCACATTTGTGGAATTATTTTATATTTGAGAAGTTTTCTTCTCTAACTTCTTTTTTCTCAAAATTAACATAATGAGTTGTAACGAGTATTTCGTATTGCTTATTACGGATGGAAGATGGGGGTTTGTTAATTCTCAATTATTATATGTTTGGCCACTGAGATACAATCCGAGAATGTTTTATTTAGGTGTTGAATTTTACGAAACCACCACTTTCACTGAATTTGTTTATTTGGTGAAGTGCAAGATGGGTCTTCCCGAAGAATCAAAAGTCAGTCTGGCTTATCAACATCCCGTACAACTCTATTATTATGGTATTGTTGATGATCGTGATATTAGAAAGCTGATCAAGGTAATAAATGTCGTTGGATATAAATTTGTGTATGTCTATGTGGTGGTTGAAGAAGGCGTTTGGCGTAACAAAGTGGATGATAGAGGAAATGCATCTGCAACTAATTTATCAAGTGGAAAAGGGAGCAACACCCCAATAGGTAATTTTAAAAGTCCAAGTAAAAGTCAATATCATAGTGTCGCTGAAAATGTAAATGTAGTGCCAGAACCGATTATGTATGTGACACCCGAGAATTATAAGTATATTAGTGATAATGATGTTGGTACATATGTTAATGATGTGGGTGTAAATCAATACTCTGCCCAAAAAAAAGCACTAGATGTGGTCAATAAGGTTGGTAATGAATATGGAAAACAAGAAGTTCCATTTTTGCATGATGGTGAACTAAAAGGATACGACGAGTTTGCGGATTGTGACAAGTTGGATATATCCGGCCTAGAGAGTGATTCTAACGGAGAAGAATTTGATGATGAACCTAAACTTATTTATTCAGATACAATGTTTCACAGTATGCCCCCATTGCCTTCGTGTCCTGTAAACGATGATGTGAACATTCCATGCCAGAGGGTGGATATAAATGAAGAGATTAAGATTCTAGACATTTTTTTATAACAAAGAGTTGCTCAAGCTTGCAATTGGAAAACAATGCATGGAACAAAGTAAGCAGTATAAGACTACCATATCGAGCAAAGAAAGGTTCGAGGTGGTTTGTTTGGTAGAGAATTGTTCTTGGATGGTTAGGGCAAGGGGAATCAAATCGACTACTGCTTTCCAAGTCACAAAAGTTGTTGACCAACACACATGTTGTGCAACAAAACTTGGAGTCTAATCATCGACAATCAAAGAAAAATGTACTCGGCCACTTTATCGCTGAAGTATTGGCCGGAGATTATAATAGAGTTTATCGGGGAAATGAAATTGTGAGGGACGTCAATTCGAAATTTCCAATCAATATCACATACCAGCAGACATGGCGGGCAAAACAATATGCGTTGTTGATGTTAAGAGGTACCAAAGAGGATTCATTCACCAAACTACCAGTGTATGTGCACAACTTGGTCAAGCATAATCCAGGAACTGTTACTCAGATAAGAACAGACGATGATGATCGGTTTGAGTTCGTGTATATCGCGTTGGGTTGCTCGGTAAGCAATGATATTTTTTTATAACAAATATAACATATGAATCCTAATTGGTAATTGTTAATGCAATCACAAATAATTGTAGGTACAAGCGTTCATCAAATATTGTAGGCCGACGCTAATAATTGATGCTGGTCACCTAAAGGGTGAATTCAAGGGTACGATGTTGCTCGCAGTGACAATGGACGGTCAAAACCAAATCATGCTTGTTGCTTATGCCATATGTAAAAGTGAATGTACGAATACATGGTCCTGGTTCCTTCGAAAACTACGTGAATGTATAGGCAACGTGGAGGACCTTACATTCATATCTGATAGGGCTCCATCTATAGCGACGTCAATTGCAAACATTTTTCCTCACGCCCATCATGGAATATGTGGTATTCATTTGTATTTCAACATTTCAGCAAAATTTGGAAGCAGCGATACAATACACACATTATTTTGGGAGACATGCAAAGCCTATATTATTAGAAAATTCGATAAGGGGATGAAAAAAATAAAAAGGTAAATGTTGGTGTATGGGAATACCTACAAAACATCAATCCAGAAAGATGGGCTAGGGCACATTTTCCTGGGAATCAGTATTTTCTTATGACATCAAATAGTGCGGAGTCGACAAATTCAATGTCAATATTTGCAAGAAAAATGCCAATTGATGTTGATTGAGTATTTTCGTGCTACAATGCAACAATGGAGTTTTCAGAAGCGTAATGTTGCAGGTACTAATTTTTTATATATAATAGTACTTGAAATGTTATTTTACTACTCATATGATATTATGAAATTATGTCTATTTTTTAGCTGAAGCAAAAACAACATTCACCCCATGGGCAGATACGATTATACAAGCAAATAAGAATGCTTGTAATAATTGGATGGTGTACCTTATCTCAAATAGTAGATTTGAAGTGAAAAGCTCTGCTCACAAAAGTGTTATTGTTGATTTCCATCAAAGAACGTATACATGTAGGCGGTGGCAAATAGATGACTTACCTTGTGGCCATGTCATAAAAGTGCTCACAATGAACCATTACAAAGACTGTTCGAAATTTGCTTTAAAAGCTTACTTTACAGAGACACTGAGAAAACTTACGAAGAGTGTGTGAACCATTTGCCAATTCCATCTGAGTGGGAGATCCCTGATGATTTGATGATTGTGAAGCCACCCATAATGGAGAGACGTCAGTCGAGTAGGCCAAGAAACACTAGCCGTATTCCGTCGCAAGGTGAGCATCCCATACGACAATAATGTTCTACATGCGGTCAATTTGGACACACGAGAAATGATTGTACTGGTAGGGGTTTGGGGAGTGGATTTAGGGGGAGTAAAAAATCGACACAAAAAGGGATAATGACTGATGAATTGGCATCCGGAAGCGGGTCACAGAACGAAAGTGTGTACCTATTTCGACAACACATTTGATTTAAATTGTCCTCAGACTAATGTAGGAAAGTAATGAATTCCCATATTTGTAATTTGTATTGCGTGTATTAAACTGCACTTCTGAGATTATTAATTAAATCTAGTATCCCAATTATTATCTACTTTATTCCATGAAAAATTAAACACAAACATAAAACATTATAGAAAACGAGATACACATTTCACATAAAAGAGCCTTCTACATGAAATATTTGTTATTTTTAACTAGAATCCAAGCATCCTCATACTCGAAGTCACTTCCCTCGTGCTCGAAAATGTAATGATCTTTAACAATTTCTAAAAGATCTTCCTCGTTGTTTGTATAACGATAACTATTTTTAAGATGATGATACCATCGATTGAACCATGTGATTTTTTCCTTTAAATCCATCCACTTACCAACAATATCTGCTTGAACCCGGTGTTTTCCTGCTCCCAACGAGAGGTTAAACATAGCTGTTATGCGGGTCCATTCATCACTTTCAAGGCAATCAGTGTTAACCATGGTTATTACACCATGCTAAATGTTCATCCAACATCGTATTACCACCATCATCTCTCTTATCGTCCATGGACGTGAAGTATTGGACGGAGCAGCTACATTGGAAAAAGTTGTTTGATCGGAGGCAATTTTTAACATTTTTTTGTTAGCTTGTTTAATTTTAAAGGAGTACTTAAATAAGAAAAGGTACTGACAAACAATTATGTGGATTCCCAGAAATACTGTTTGAAACGACAATGTTACTGTTCGAAATGACAATACATTATGCAGGCTACAAACTAGTAGTCAAAGTCTATGAAACCGTAGTTAAATAATTTCAAATAGTAGTCCAATTGTCAGATACCTTACAGGGAAGTACTGTTTGAAATGACAAATCCACTGTTCGAAATGACAATACATTATGCAGGCTACAAAGTAGTAGTCAAAGTCTATGAAACTGTAGTCAAATAATGTCAAAGACTAGTCCAATGGTCAGATACCTTACACGGAACTACTGTTTGAAATGATAAATCTACTGTTC